GTGCTAGGACTACAGGCATGAGCCACCATACCCAGCCTGGTAGGAGAAATTTTTAAAAAATATATATTTTATTGTGTCTTAGGCTTTGGGGTACATATGAAGAATGTGCAGGATTGTTGCATAGGTACATAATGGCAGTGTGGCTGCCTTCCTCCGCATGACCTATATCTGGCATTTCTCCCCATGTTATCCCTCCCCAACTCTGACCCCCTGCTGTCCCTCCCCTAGTTCCCCCCGACAGACCTCAGTGTATGATGCTCCCCTCTCTGTGTCCATGTGTTCTCAGTGTTCAACACCTGCCTACAAATGAGAACATGTGGTGTTTGATTTTCTGTTCTTGTGTCAGTTTGCTGAGAATGATGGTTTCCAGGTTCATCCATGTCCCTACAAAGGACATGAACTCATAGTAATCCATGGTGTATAAGTGCCACATTTTCCTTGTCCAGTCTATCATTGATGGGCATTTGGGTTGGTTCTAGGTCTTTGCTATTGTAAACAGTGCTGCCATGAACATACATGTGCATGTGTCTTTATAACAGAACAATTTATAATCCTTTGGATATATACCCAGTAATCGCATTGCTGGGTCAAATGGTATTTTTATTTCTAGATACTTGAGGATCTAGAACCACAACGTCTTCCACAATGGTTGAACTAATTTACACTCCCACCAGCAGTGTAAAGGTGTTCCTATTTCTCCACATCCTCTCCAGCATCTGTTGTCTCCAGATTTTTAAATGATCGCCATTCTAACTGAGATAGTATCTCAATGTAGTTTTGACTTGCATTTCTCTAATGACCAGTGATGAAGAGCATTTTTTCATATGTTTGTTGGCCTCATGTATGTCTTCTTTTGAAAAGTGTCTGTTCATATTCTTCACCCACTTTTGAATGGGCTTGTTTGTTTTTTTCTTGCAAATCTGTTTTTGTTCTTTGTAGATTCTGGATATCAGCCCTTTGTCAGATGGGTAGATTGCAAAATTTTTTTCCCGTTCTCTTGGTTGCTGGTTCACTCTAATGATTGTTTCTTTTGCTGTGCAGAATCTGTGGAGTTTAATTTGGTCCTGTTTGTCTATTTTGGCTTTTGTTGCCAATGCTTTTGGTGTTTAGTCATGAAGTCTTTGCCTATGCCTATGTCCTGAATGATTTTGCCCAGGTTTTCTTCTAGGGTTTTATGGTGTTAGGTCTTATGTTTAAGTCTTTAATCCATCTGGAGTTAATTTTAGTGTAAGCTGTCAGGAAGGGGTCCAGTTTCTGCTTTCTGCACATGGCTAGGCAGTTTTCCCAACACCATTTATTAAACAGGGAATCCTTTCCCCATTGCTTGTTTTTGTCAGGTTTGTCAAAGATAAGATGGTTGTAGATGTGTGCCGTTGCCTCCGAGGCCTCTGTTCTGTTCCATTGGTCTATATCTCTGTTTTGGTACCAGCACCATGCTGTTTTGGTTACTGTAGCCTTGTAGTATAGTTTGAAGTCAGGTAGTGTGATGCCTCCAGCTTTGTTCTTTGTGTTTAGAATTGACTTGGCTATGCAGGCTCTCTTGATTCCATAAGAAGTTTAAGGTGGTTTTTTCCAGTTCTGTGAAGAGGTCATTGGTAGCTTGATAGGGATAGTGTTGAATCTATAAATTACTTTGGGCAGTATGGCCATTTTCACAATATTGATTCTTCCTGACCATGAGCATGGAATGTTTCTCCATCTGTTTGTGTCCTCTCTTATTCTGTTGAGCAGTGGTTTGTAGTTCTCCTTGAAGAGGTCCTTTACATTCTTTGTTAGTTGTATTCCTAGGTATTTTATTCTCTTTGTAGCAATTGTAAATGGCAGTTCGTTCTTGATTTGGCTCTCTTTGATTCTGTAATTGATGTATAGGAATGCTTGTGATTTCTGCACATTTATTTTGTATCCTGAGACTGCTGAAGTTGCTTATCAGTTTCAGGAGATTTTGGGTTGAGACAATGAGGTCTTCTAAATACACAATCATGTTGTCTGCAAATAGAGACTATTTGACTTCCTCCTTTCCTAATTGAATACCCTTTATTTCTTTTTCTTGCCTGATTGCTCTGGCTAGAACTTCCAATACTATATTGAATAGGAGTGGTGAGAGAGGGCATCCTTGTCTAGTGCCAGATTTCAAAGGGAGTGCTTCCAGTTTTTGCCCATTCAGTATGATATTGGCTGTGGGTTTGTCATAAATAGCTTTTATTATTTTGAGATATGTTCCATCAATACCTAGTTTATTGAGAGTTTTTAGCATAAAGGGCTGTTGAATTTTGTTGAGGGCCTTCTCTGCATGTATTGAGATAATCATGTGGATTTTGTCTCTGGTTCTGTTTACGTGGTGAATTACGTTTATAGACTTGTGTATGTTGAACCAGCCTTGCATCCCTGGGATGAAGCCTACTTCATGATGGATAAGCTTTTTGATGTGCTGTTGCAATTGGTTTGCTAGCATTTTATTGAAGATTTTTGCATCTATGTTCATCACGGATATTGGCCTGAAGTTTTTTTTTTCTTGTTGAGTCTCTGCCAGGTTTTGGTATCAGGATGACATTGGGCTCATAAAATGATTTGGGAAGGATTCCCTTTTTTTGGATTGTTTGGAATAGTTTCAGAAGGAGTGGTACCAGCTCCTCTTTGTATGTCTGGTAGAATTTGGCTGTGAACCCATCTGGACCTGGGTGTTTTTTGGTGGGTAGGCTATTAATTGCTGCCTCAACTTCAGCCCTTGTTATTGGTCTAGTCAGGGGTTTGACTTCTTCCTGGTTTAGGCTTGGGAGGATGCGAGTGTCCAGGAATTTATCCATTTCTTCCAGGTTTACTGGTTTATGTGCATAGAGTCATTTATAGTAATCTCTGATGGTGGTTTGTATTTCTGTGGAATCTGTGGTGATATCCCTTTTATCATTTTTTACTGCATCTTCTTGGTTATTCTCTCTTTTATTTTATTAATCTGAGAAATTTTTAAGTAGCAAAGTTTTCAAGAGGCAGCCTGGCTGCTTTTAACAACCTATAGTTAGATATGAAAGCAAATAAATGACTTAAAGTTGGAACTTATATTTGAAAGAGAATCAGTGCATAAAGGTTTGGAAAATTTGCAGCCTAGCTGTGTGCCAGAGAAAGAAAAAGCATTTTCAAGATCAAGAGATGATTACAAGCAGGCCATTGAGCAACCATTTGCTAGAGAGATTAGCAAGATTAAAAGGGAGCCAAGTGCTAATGTTCAAGACAATGGGAAAAAGGCCTTGAAGGCACATTTCAGAGATCTCCAAGGCAGCCCCTCCCATCACAAGCCCAGAGGCCTAGGAGGAAAGAATGGTTTTATGAGGCATACCTAGGACCCTGCTGTCCTGTATAGCCTCAGGATGGTATTCCCAGTGTCCTGGCCACTCTGGCTCCAACATCAGCTCAAAGGGGTCCAGCTACAGCTTGGGCTGCTGCTTTGGAGAGCACAAGCTGCTGTATGCATTGGTGTTAAGCCTGCCGTGCACAGAATGCGAGAGTGAAGGGTTGGCAGCTCCCACTTAGATTCCAGGGAATGTATGGAAAAGTCTGGTTGCCCAGGCAGAAGTCTTCCACAGGGATGGAGCCCTCATAGAGAAACACTACTAGAGCAATACTGAGGGGGAATGTAGGTTTGCTCAGCTGCTGAATGGAGTTGTGGGAAGGGGATCTCCACCCTCCAGACCCAAGAATGGTAGAATAACTTGCAGCTTGCAACCTCTGTGTGGAAAAGCTGCAGGCACCCAACTCCAACTGGTAAGAGCAGCTCATGTGGGCTGTATCCAGGGAAGCCATAGGGGTGGGCTACCCAAGGCCTTATGGGCTCACCCCTCACACCAATATGAAGGATGTGGAGTCAAATGAGATTGTTTTGGAACTTTAAGATTTAATGACTGCCCTGTTGGATTACAGACTTGTTTGGGGCCTGCTGACCCTTTCTTTCATCCAATTTCTCCTTTTTGGAATGGGAATATACACTCAATTCCTGTACCACCATTGTATATTAGGAATAAATAACTTATTTTGACTTCACAGGCTCATGGATGGAAGGAACTCATCTCCAGATAAGACTTGGGGTTTGGGACTTAGGACTTTTGATTTAATGCTGGAATTAGTTAAGACTTTAGGAGGCGATTGCAAAGACATAATTGTATTGTGAAATGTGAGAAGGACATGAAATTTAGGGGTCTAACTGTAGAATTATATGATTTGGATATTTGTTCTCTCCAAATCTCATGTGGAAATGTAATCCTCAGTGCTGGAGGTGGGGCCTGGTAAGAGGTGTTTGGATCACGGGCAGATCCCTCATGAATGGCTTAGTGCCATCCCCTTGGTGATGAGTGAGTTTTCACTCTGGTAGTTTGCATAGGATCTGGTTGTTTTTATGAGTGCTGGGCCAAGCATGGTGGCTCACACCTGTAATCCCAGCACTTTGGGAGACCAAGATAAACAGATCATCTGAGGTCAGGAGTTCGAGACCAGCCTGACCAACATAGTGAAACTCTGTCTTTACTAAAAATACAGAATTAGCTGGGCATGGTGGTGCATGCCTATAGTCCCAGCTCCTTGGGAGGCTGAGGCAGGAGAATCACTTGAACCCAGGAGGCGGAGGTTGCAGTGAGCAGAGATTGTGCCATTGCACTCCAGCCTGGGTGACAGTGCAAAACTCCATCCCCCTCTCCCCCAAAAAAGAGTGTTGTACCTTACCCCTCTCTTGTTTCTGCTCTTGCCACATAATGCACCTGCTCCTCCTTTGTCTTCTGCCATGATTGAAGCTTCCTGAGGCCCTTGCTAGGAACAGATGCTAGCCCCATGCTTCCTGTAGAATCTGTAGAACCCTAAGCTAATTAAACCTCTTCTTACTAAATTAGCCATCCTCAGGCATTTTATTATAGCAATGCAAGAATGAACGAATATACTTATCTACGTGGAATTATGCAATCCCTTTAATTGTAGAACTTCCTAACACATGTAGTACAGAGCGTAGCTAGACACAGTCATTGAAATAATATTTTTGTCGGGCATTTTATTTTTTGCTTTAACAAAGCAATTTGCTGGCAATAAATTCCACAAAACTATGGATGAATTCCATCTCATCTGATGATGAAGATACAGCCAAAGAACCCACTAGTCATTTCTGTCCCACAGAATCATGGCTATCCATGATTCAGGTACAACGTTCAGCATATCACAATGACCACTAGAACCCAGGTGTCTCAGAACTCATTTCCAGTGCCACTTTATTTCCTACCCATTCTCTTGCTGCTGTGATGCCATGTTCCTGAGAAGTTAGGGGCAGAGTGAAGGATTCTTTCCAGCTGAGGAGATTCAGTTAATTGCTGTGTGACTGCTGGGCATGATCCATGCTGACTGAGAGTACTGGTTGATGGTCCAGTTGCCATAGTTCATATGATATTGACTTGGCAGGGTGGGACTAAGGGAGCGCTCATCATAGAAATTACCTGACTGCTGCGGAACACTGATGAGCACTATGGCCAGGGAAGCTACACAGTGCACAAATCGCCACCTGCCCTGGAAATATGACAGTGCCCATTCAGCACACAGGCAGAGACGATGTGGTCAAGAATGGGAGCCCTTCCTCTCCATGCCTTCTAAGATGCCCAAGTCTCTCCAGCAGCCTTGAGACAAGTTGTCCTATACTTGGCTGTGAGCACCACAAGAAGGAGGGCACCAGTCAAGTCTGTCTTGTTGATAGATCCTTGGCCCCAAGCGCTGGGCTCCACCCCGCGGCAGATTTTCAAAAGTGATAGTTAAATGAATCAGCAAATGTCAAGAAAAATAATAGAAACCCAGAAAATAGTAAGTGTTGATGTGCATGTGGGGGAATTGACACTCTTGTGTATTGCTGGTGGGAAGGTAAAATGGTGCAGCTGCTATGGAAAATAATATAGAGGTTCCTCAAAAGAACTACTGTATGATCTGACAATCCCACTTCTGCGTAGACATCTGAAGGAATTGAAAGTAGGAGTTGGAAGAGCTGTTGGGACACCCATATTCACTGTAGCATTCTTCACCTTCACCAAGGTGGAAACAGTCAAAGTGTCCACTGACAGATGACTGGATACACAAAATGTGGTATGTATAACAGAATATTGTTCAGCTTTTAAAAAGAAAGAAGTGGCTGGGCGCAGTGGCTCACGCCTGTAATCCTGGCACTTTGGGAGGCTGAGGCAGGCTGATCACTGGGTCAGGAGTTCAAGACCAGCCTGACCAACATGGTGAAACCCTGTCTCTACTAAAAATACAAAAATTAGCTGGATATGGTGGCACATGCCTGTAATCCCAGCTACTCAGGAGGCTGAGGCATAAGAATTGCTTGAACTTGGAAAGCTGAGGTTGCAGTGAGCTAAGACTGCCTCACTGCACTCCAGTCTGGATGAGAGAGCAAGACTCCATCTCAAAAAAAAAATAAAAGAAAGAAAGAAAGAAGGAGGCCAGGTATGGGGCATGGGGGCTCATGCTTATAGTCTCAGGACTTTGGGAGGCTGAGGTGGGAGGATCAACTGAGCCCAGGCGTTCAAGACCAGCTAGGCCAACATGGAGAGACCCTGTTTCTAGAAAAAAAAAAATTTTTTTTTTAATTAGTCAGATATGGTGGCGTGTGCCTGTGATCCCAGCTACTTAGGAGGCTGAGGCAGGAGGATCAGCTGAACCCTGGAGGTCAAGACTGCAGTGAGCTGTGTTCATGACACTGCACTTCAGCCTGGGTGACAGAGTGAGACCCTGACTCCACAAAAAAAATAAAAGAAAGAAATCCTGTGGCACGCTGCAACATGAAGGAGTGTTGAGGACACTGTGCTGAATGAAAGAAGCCGCTTACAAAAGGACACATGTTGTGTGACTCCACTTAGGATGAGGTATTTAGAGCAGTCAAGACTATGGGACTCGTGGACTTGTGGTTGCCAGGGCCGGGGTGGGGGCGGGGGGACAGAGAGTTCCTTTTCAATTTGAAAAAGTTCTAGAGAACTATTACACAGCAACGTGAACCTACTTAACACTCCTGAACTGTATACTTAAAATAGCTCAGAGGGAAAATTTTATATTATGTGCTTTTTACCACAATAAAATGTAAAAAAAATTAAAAATAAATGAACAAATGAGTGAATGGTTTATTCCAAAGGAACCTCATGGATCAACTCTTCCCAAGAGCATCTGAATTTAAAAATTCTTAGGGGTGAAAATAATGAAAAAGAATTCTTCCATGATGGCAAATTTCAGGTAGCTTGGGGAGACCGCTGGGAATCGCTGTGGGAATCATGTTGCTATTTTTAAGCTGCAATTTGGGGAAAAATAAATTTTTGGAAACCTAATAATTGATTATTATTCATTAGATTTTTTGGAGATATAAAGTCAGTATGTTTTATTTTAATTAATTAATCAATTAATTTTTTGAGACACAGTCTTGCTCTGTCGTCCAGGCTGGAGTGCAATGGTGCAGTCTTGGCTCACTGCAACCTCTGCCTCCCAGGTTCAAGCAATTTTCCTGCCTCAGTCTCCTGAGTAGCTGGGATAGCAGGTGCCTGCCACTGCACCCAGCTAATTTTTGTATTTTTGTTATTTTTTTTATTTATTATTTTTGGATTTCGCCATGTTGGCCAGGCTGGTCTCAAATTCCTGACCTCAGGTGATCCACCTGCCTTGGCCTCCCAAAGGGCTGGGATTGCAGGCATGAGCCACCACACCCAGCCAAGTCAATATGTTTTAAAAAAGAGCTCTACATTTTTACATATTTAAAATGTAATCAATATTAGAAAGTCAACCAAACCTTTTTCTATGGTAGGGTGGGATGGAGGGGGTGGCTAGAGGGGAGTCCTAGAAGACAGGCATTTGTGCTGAGATTTCCATTTTCAGAATTCAGTGAGGATTCTGTTCCCTAAAGGCCATGGTAGCTGTATTTCTTACTCTTCCTACCCTTGTATTTAAATAATGTTGCTGGCTGGGCGTGGTGGTTCTTGTCTGTAATCCCAGCACTTTGGGAGGCTGAGGCAGGCAGATTGCTATGCCCAGGAGTTCAAGACCAGTCTGGGCAACAAAATGAGACTCCATTTCTACCCCCCAAAAACACTGATGGTGTCCACTTGTAGTCCCAGCTATATGGGAGGCTGAGGCAGGAGGATCACTTGTGCCCAGAAGATTGAGGCTGAAGAAAGCCATGTTCAAGTCACTGTAGTCCAGTCTAGGTGACAGAGCAAGACCTTGTCTCAAAAAAAAAATTGCTATTTTTCTCCATTTTTTACAGTCTCTGTCTTAATATTAGGCAGTTTTATTCTCCGAATGATAAAATAATCCTAATAACAGAAGGAACCATTTATTGAGTTCCTGCTTTGGGTTGGGCTCTGGGCCTGCCTGGGTTTTTGCAGTTTCTTTGCTCAGTGGGGCCTACAGAACAGGACCCAATGTTAACAGAAACATCCAAATGCTTGGAGCCACAGAATCTGGGCCGCACCCCAAACCTCTAAAGTCTGAATCTGCATGTCAGCAAGATCCCTTCAAAGTTGAAGACCTGCCTTACATCAGACATATTCCTAATTCCTAAGTAAATGAGAGAGGTGCAGATAAGCTCACTTCCCAAGTCAGCAAACTGGGCCAATTGCAGTTAATAATTGTTCTTGTTGTTCAGTGGAGAGGCCTGGCTCTGAACCTGTCTGTAAGGTTGGGCTGCTACTTTGAACCTTGGGCTGCTACTTGTCTTCCAGAATATTGCACCCCTTTGCAGGACAAAGCAATTCTCCTAGACTCCCACTGTGACCAAACCTGCTCACCTGCTTCATGGTTCCTCATACCCTGTCCGATGAAGTTCAGAATCCTTGGTCTGGAAGCCAAGTACTTCCTGATCTGCCCCCACCCTCTCCAGCTGCCAAAGTGTGGGGATCCTCCCAGCCAGGAGGATAAATCACTATCCCTCCACTGAGCCCTGTACTCTCCTGCACCCCTGCCTTCATTCAGGTTTTCCTTTGGAGGCAGTGGTGACTCCTGAAAGTCTATGTAGGAGAGGCTTGGGGACAGTCATCTGCCTGGGATGGGGATCTGAGGGGTCTCGAAGCTGTGTTTACATGTCCCTTTTGTAGGACAGATCAATTGTCCATCTCAAAGGGCGGGTGAGGGTGGGTCAGCTGGCGGAGCTGGGGGATGCTGTCTTATCACTCCCTGGGCAGATCCACTATGTGAAAATTTGACTGTCCACCAAGGTGCGGCCTGGCTGCCTCCTTCATGATGCCCATCCTCACTTCCTGGGCTCTGCCTGGGCCCCCCTTTCACTCCACAGTGGGCTTTACTCACAGTGCATACAACATCCCACCTCACACTGCAGTTATTTGCTGGGGTCTGAATTCCCTTTCCCGACTCTACCAATGGGAGGGTAGCATAGCTTGGATATTTGTTCCCTCCAAATCTCATGTTGAAGTTTGATCTCCAGTGTTGGAGGTAGAGCCTCATGGGAGGTGTCTGGGTCACAGGGCCTTGGAGCTCTCCCTGCAGTAATGAGTGCATTCTTGCTGGATTCATGCACTTGGGAACTGACTGTTAACAAGAGCCCAGCACCTCCTCCTCGTTCCCTTGTCCCTCTCTTGCCATGTGACACATTGGCTCCCCTTCACTTTCTGCCATGAGCAAAAGCTTCTTGGAAGGCCTCACCAGAAGCAGATGCTGGCATGTTGCTTCTTGTATAGCCTGCAGAACTGTGAGCCAAATAAACCTCTTTTCTTTATAAATTGCCCAGCCTCAGCCATTCCTTTAGAGTGATGCAAAACAAATCAGTACAGAGGGTGTGTCTCCTCTGAGGTTCATCTGGGCAGCACCTTGCAGTGGCTCTAACTGGAAAAAAAGAGTCGCTGCTTGTCCCTGGAGGATGACCATGTAAAGTGTTTGCTTTAAAATACAGTTATTCATAGAGAATTTGATGGCTTGTAGGGCCAACCGATCAGGAGATGATTGCTGTTGAAAAGGTGTTTTATTGCTCACTGATCCTGAGAGGAGAGGGCATGCATGCCATGACATGGGGGCAGTCCACGGGGAAGCTCCAGGGTCTCTCAGGAGGCAGGGGAGCAATGGGCAAAGGAGGGCAAGGCTGGAGTTTGGCCAGTTTGAGTAATTTCAGCAGACTCTGGGGCATAGGGCTGTCCTAGGTTGTGTAGCACCTGCTCTGGGGTAGACAGTGGTCTGACATGTGAGGAAGAGCTGGATATAAGAGGTGGTTGGGGTGTGGGTCTGGGCTCCAGGTTGGTTGGCTGACATTGGAAAAGCATGCTCTGTGTGGAATTGTTTCCTGTCTCTAAGAACTGGCTGGGCCTGGGTGTGCGTGTGGGGGCAGTTACTTTTGGGTCATCAAGGCCACAGATGTCAAAGCATCTGAATAGAGAAAATAAGCTGGGGAGGGGGCTCACTCCTGCCATCCCAGCTACTCAGGAGGCAGAGGCAGGAGGACTGCATGAGGCCAGGAATTAGAGCCTGGGCAACATGCGAGATCCCGTCTATATAAAATACAAAAAATTACCCCACTGTGGTGGTGTGCACCTGTAGTACCAGCTACATGGGAGGCTGAGGCAGGAGGATCACTTGAGCCCAGAAAGTCGAGGCTGCAGTGAGCTATGATTGTACTACTGCACTCCAGCCTGGGTGACACAGTGAGATTCTGGTGTATGTATGTATGTGTGTGTGTGTGTGTGTGTGTGTATATATATATATTAGAGTAAACAGGACAAGGTTGACACAGTCCTTGAGGTTCAGAGCATCTCTCTTGGCATGTGACACTCAGGCTGAGCTGAAGGCCCCTTTGATCAGCCTGTGTCTGTCCCTGGCATCTGACTTCCCGGACTGTTCCTGGAGCTGGAACAGTGGCTTCTGGTGAGGGTGTCACACAGAAGACTCCCACAGGATGGAAACATCTCACTCCCCATCCTGCTGGTGTCCTCCTGGGGAGCTCTGGACTGTAACATGCTTGGGAGCACCAACAGGCCCTGGGCAGGTAGGCGTGCTGTGGTTCCAGTGTCCTTTCTCAACATGCAGGTCCGTCATGATCTGGGGTACAGAGCTTTCCCAGGTGGCTGGGCTCTAGCGGGGTGAGAGGCCTCTCTGTGAGGAGCGGGTCCCAAGGCTCAGTGGCAGCATGGGGGCTGCTAACACATTGGAAAAGTAGGTATATGCAGGTCCTGAAATAATGTTTTAACGTCATTTTATTATAACACTGATAAGAAACAAAATTGATTCCTGGCCAGGGCCACTGTGTGTGTGTGTTTTCTCTGGGCGCTCTGGTTCCCTCCCACATCCCCAAAGCTGAGCAGATGAGGTGAGCTGGCATGTCTGAATTGTCCCAGTGTGTGTGGGTGGGTGAGTGTGGGGATGTGTGAGCACCCTGCAGTGGAACAGCACCCTGTCCAGGCCTGGCTCCTGCCCTGCACACTGAGTTCCTGAGGTGGGCTCTGGCCACCCACAACCCTGAACAGGAATAAGAAGGTTAGAAAATGAATGAATGGGCCAGGCACGGTGGCTCATGCCTGTAATCCCAGCACTTTGGGAGGCCAAGGCGAGTGGATCACAAGGTCAGGATTTCGAGATCATCCTGGCCAATATGGTGAAACCCCGTCTCTACTAAAAATACAAAAATTAGCCAGGCATGGTGGTGGGCACCTGTAGTCCCAGCTACTCAGGAGTCTGAGGCAGGAGAATTGCTTGAACTGGGGAGGTGGAGGTTGCAGTGAGCCAAGTTAGCGCCACTGCACTCTAACCTGGGTGACAGAGTGAGGCTTCATCTCAAAAAAAAAAAGAATTAATGAATGAACATAAATTATTATAAAATAAAAATTTACAAGGCACAAAATAACCATCCAAATGCATGACAATAAGTGATGCTGTATGACAGGGCCTAGAAGCCTGTCACATTGGTGACTGTTCTGAACTTCCCGGTGGCAGGAGGTGTTCCTGGCAAGGTTCATTTTGCAAACATTTATTCCTTGATCTAACCCACCCAGGACAACCACCGTCACTTACTGATTCACCAAAAATCGGGCAAATAATTCTCTTACTTGTTATTAATCTCGCTTAAAGGTATGCATAGCTTGCATTGATGTCTGTGTTTACTAGTAGAAATGTATTGGTCTTTCTTTAGAATTGTGGCACTCTTTTTGTGACCAGAAATGTGCTGTAGGAACTTCACTCTTGTTTATATCAATTCACCTTGGGAAAACTGGCTTTGCTATACATCATTTCGCCTAAAGCTGGTTCCCAAGAACCTATCAAAGACCTTAAGTGAGGACTCACTGTACCTTTTGGCTGAACTTTTGTTGAAAGCTTCTTTCCGAGTCCAAGTGCTATGATAGTCATGATTTCACTGGATTCTCACAGGCAACCCTGAGAGGCAGAAAGGGCTTTTGTTGACAGTTCCGTTTCGAGGTGAACCTGAAGCTTGGCAAGGTGTGTGCTTCACCCATTCCCACTGAGGGCAACGGGAAGGGAGCTCACATCAGATCATCTTCTTCAGGGCACTCTCCTCAACACATGCTCTCCACGGAAGGGAGGTGAGGAGAACAACAGCGATGGTTGTAGCATTCTGCTTTTCAGTGCAAAACACCCTCTGGCTCCAAAAGTAGATAGTTCTGCAGGGGCTCTGGCAAGGGTAACAGGGGGATGAGGTCAAAGCACTTTTTGCCAAATAGTCTGCGAAGGGCACAGCGGCAGAGATGCTGCAGGCAGCGTGGGGTGTGGGCCAAGGCAAAGAGGGACTGGTAGAACGGCTTGTGCATCTGGAAGGGAAGGCAGGTGGATTAGAAATCTGGGCACATGGAACCAACATTTCTTTTCTTCCTAGCCAGACCGCTGATGGGACAGTGGGCTTTTCTATGGCTAACTGCTCCCAGATAAGCACACTGGAGAGAGACGCATCATCTTGTGGGAACCACCCTCTACCCCACGGCACAGTTCCTGCTGAGTGAGGGGGGATTCTGACTGCAGTGACTTCAGATGCTCCAGGTGGTCTCCCTGAGTTCCATTTTGCTCCATCCTCTTTGCACAGCAGTCCTGCAGCCCCGGGGTGGCCCTGTTCATCTCACCTGATCATGACCAGCCAGGGAGGGGCTCAGGAGTGAGTGCATGGCATTGGTCTGGTAGTCAGTCATGCACACATGACTCAAGTCAGTGAAACAGGAGGGAAAATTTTCTAGAACCTTCTGGAAAAAATGAAAAACAAATACGCACAACTGTTCTTACTCTCTCTCTCTCTCTTTTTGAGACAGAGTCTAGCTCTGTCACCCAGGCTGGAGTGCAGTGGCATGATCTTGGTTCACTGCAACCTCTGTCTCCTGGGCTCAAGTGATTCTCCTGTCTTAGCCTCCTGAGTAAGTGGGATTACAGGCATCCACCACTGTGCCTAGCTAATTTTTGTATTTTTGGTAGAAACGGGGTTTCACCATGTTGGCCAGGCTGGTCTTGAACTCCTGACCTCAGGTGATCTGCCTGCCTGCCCTCTCAAAGTGCTAGGATTACAGATGTGAGCCACTGTGCCTGGCCTGTTCTCACTCTCTTTATTGGTCAGTCACCTGTGGACTTTGTCGTGGACAGATGTAATGCCCACAGCCTCCTTGGTCATATCTTGAGCTGCTGGAGCATGAAGCTAACACACAGGGCCAGAATGTATGTCCTGATATGGAGCCAGGCCCATGGATTCAGGTGGCTCTGGCCTTTTTTTGGACACTGGTTAAGAGAACCCTGGCGTTTTTCAGGCCAGCACGGGGCTCTGTGCTCCTTGAGGGCACGTCACTGCAACTACTAGAACAAGCTCCTGGCTGTGTGATGACGGAGCCTCCAGAGAAAACTAGAAATGTGCAGATACACCCTCATTTCCCATCCTCCTTCCTCTTTCAGATGTATTATACTTAGCTGAATATCAGTGCAAATCTCCCCATGCAAAGAAGCAAAAACAGACAAAAGCTGTGTACTAAAGGCAGGCAGACAGGCAGCGCTCTTGCCTGAAATACTTCCTCAGGAATCACCTCCTTCCAGGACTCTGACACGCAGAGGTGAGGGTAGGAGTTGAAAAGCACCTCGATGACTGCGGGGACCGATGCACAGGTCTTCAGCACCTGGTGGGAAGAGGTGACAGACACAGCATAGGCCAACTGGGTTCTGGGTCCCAGTGGGGAAAGGGTTGGGGATATGGGGGCATGCTCTCCCTAGTTGCATCCCTGCACCCAAGTCACACAGGAACAGCCACAGAACAGTACCACCAGGTTGCTGCAGGGATTGTATGAGTTAACGCACACAAACACACAAAGCGGGCTGGGTGAAGTGGCTCATGCCGGTAATCCCGGCACTTCAGGAGGTCGAGGTGAGCGGATCATCTGAAGTCGGGAGTTCAAGACCAGCCTGACCAACACGGAGAAACCTTGTCTCTACTAAAATACAAAATTAGCTGGGCATGGTGACACATGCCTGTAATCCCAGCTATTTGGGGGGCTGAGGCAGGATAATTGCTTGAAACCGGGAAGCAGAGGTTGCAGTGAGCCAAGATCGTGCCATTGCACTCTAGCCTGGGCAACAAGAGAGAAAACTCCATCTCAAAATAAAAAATAAAAAAAGACACAAGGCAATGGCTCTGCAAGGGAGCCCTTCTTCCCACTGTGATGGCTGCCCATGGAAAGGCTGGGCCAGGGGCCTAAGCATTCAGATTCCCAGTGGGGCTATGCCGATGACTTGGCAGGCCTTCTTGGCCCCCAGAGAGTTGCTCAGAGAAGAAGAATGAAGTTCTGCTGGGAGGAAGATTGGCCTGAGGGTGGGGTTTCCAATTTCTTACCTCAATTTTCAAATGTGTCAGGAAATTGAGACTTGGGGAGAGGAATTGTTTTGCTGTTGAATTTCCTCGTGCCTTGGCATTTCCGTTTTATTTTCAGTCCCCACTGGCAAATATTCCTATTTCCTTACTCACAAATTTATAATTCAAGTCCATTAGCTTCACCGTAAAGATGGGAACACTATTTGCTTTTTAAAAATAAACTTTTTTGCTGTTGTTGTGGAGAAATTCGAACCTTCATACACAAAAGTAGCGCCAATAGTATGTGATAAACACCTGTGTGCCCACCATCAACCCATGGGTGGTCCCGCCCCATCCACTTCCCCTAACACCAAGAGAATTCCATGCATCCTGTAATTTTATCTGCATTTTATAGGACCCTCTGAAGAAACAAAGATACTATGATTATAGCGCCTGAGAAATTAAGAATAGTTTTGTCATATGTCATACACAGGTAGTGTTTAAATTCACAGATTTCTCTGAAATGCCATTATACTAACAAAATAATGTTTGTTTGAATAATCGTTCCAGCTAAGGCCGGCATAGTGAGACTGGTTGGTGTGATGCGGCTTTAGGTTTCTTTCTGGTTTCATGTGACTTATTTCTGGTGGGAACTGGGTTGTTTGTCCTGGGGCGTTCCTCACTTCGGGGTTTTTGTGATTACATCCCCACTGGGTTTGTGGACATGCTGTTCTTCCTCTGTTTTCCATAAATTAGTTCTTGAATTTAGAAGCTGGACCACATTCATGTTCGACTGTGGAGAGGGGCAGGGCAATTTCAGAGCGCTCTCCTTTTGAGGTCTAAGATTTGCCTAGTGTTGTACAATTGTTCTTCCCACTTCTTGGTTGAGAGACTATGAACTTCTCTAAGCCCAGCTGTCGTATGTCTGCAGCAGTGACCTGAACTGATACTGGGGCCTGCCCTGCGTCATGTCTGCTGGGGCTCTGGGGACACAGTCAAAGAGAAGAAAGTATTTAAATCACTCACGGTGGCTGCTCACTTCACGACCTGCCTCCCCTCTCCACAGCTCCGGACCCAAAACCCCTTTAAAATACAAATAGGACAAAAAAAATTCATCTTCCTTTGGTCAGAGTTAACTGCTATTAACATTTTGTATATGCTAATGTTTTATGTGTTTAGACAGAAAATTAATATATATGACAATAGGTGAATGCTTGGCATGATTTTGAAATCTGATTTTTTTCCATGCAGAATATATTGTGAACAACTCATGATCTATTCACAATCAATTCTTCTTTTTTTTTTTTTTCTGAATGGAGTCTCACTTTGTCGCCTACGCTGGAGTGCAGTGGTGTAATATTGACTCACGGCAACCTCTGCCTCCCAGTTCAAGCTATTCTCCTGCCTCAGCCTCCCAAGTAGCTGGGACTACAGTAAGGTGCCACCATAGCTGGCTGATGTTTGTATTTTCAGTAGAGATGGGGTTTCACCATGTTGGCCAGGCTGGTCTCGAACTCCTAACCTCGTGATCTGCCCACCTTGGCCTCCCAAAGTGCTGGGATTACAGGCGTGAGCCACTGTGCCTGGCCCAATATGGACCATTTACTTTTGTTTTGGTTGAGCATTTTTCTTCCTTTGTGAATTGCTCAATTATGTCATTTGCTCATTTTTCTATTGGTGTGTTCATTTCTTCACTTTTTGGTAAGTACACTTTGTTTATTAGGGTTATTTTTCAGGTGGACAATAATTGTTTTGAGACAGAGTGTCACACTGTCACCCAGGCTGGAGTGCAATGGCACGATCTTGGCTCATTGCAGCCTCCGCCTGCTGGGTTCACGCAGTTCTCTTGCCTCAGCCTCCCACGTAGCTGGGATTACAAGCACACACTACCACACCCGGCTAATTTTTTGCATTTTTAGTAGAGATGGGGTTTCACTATGTTGGCCAGACTGCTCTTGAACTCCTGACCTGCTTGCGATCTACTTGTCTTGGCCTCCCAAAGTGCTGAGATTACAGGCGTGAGCCATCAGGCCCGGCCAGTATTTCTTACCTTATTACACTGGCTAGAGCTTTTCAGTTCAATACTAAATAACATTAATAGCATGCATAATCTTCTTATTCCTAATTTTAATAGGATTGTCTCTAATGTTTCACCATAAATATGACCTTGGATATTAGTTTTGAATAGATACTCTGTTCTAAGTTAAGAAAATATCTTTCTATTCCTAGGTTACTACAAAGTTTAAGATGTAATTTAATTTTTTTGTGTGTGTGTGGTGGCTCATGCCTGAAATCTCAGCACTTTGGGAGGCTGAGGCAGGTGGATCACCTGAGGTCAGGAGATCAAGACTAGCCTGGCCAACATGGTGAAGCCCTGTCTCTGCTAAAAATGCAAAAAAAATTAGCTGGGCATAGTGGTGCACACCTGTAGTCCCAGCTACTCGGAGACTGAGGCAGGAGAATTGCTTGAACCCAGGAGGCAGAGGTTGCGGTGAGCCGAGATTGTGCCACTGCGCCACTGCACTCCAGCCTGGGTGACAGAGTGAGGGTCCATCCAAAAAAAAAAAAAATGGCGAGTTCCATATGGGATCATTGTCATTACAGAGGTGTTTATTGATACAGGAACTATTTAGACAGACATGGGTACAAGGAAACTTCAAAGGTCATGGCAGTAATGTGGGGTCGGAGGCAGAGCTATTACCACCCTGGGCTGAAGGGCCAGTGAGGCGAGCTGTCTTAGCAGAAGCAGCAATCCTTGCTTGGGGAGACACAACTAGCCGGAGGCCCAGAGAATACGTGTTCTGCCCTCACTCTCCTTTCCTCCCTCCTGGTGCTGGGACACCCCACTGGCTACACCCAGCTGGAAGGCAGAGGGCCGAGAGCTGTAGAATGAGACCCCCATGGATGCATAAGGACAGAAGGAAGAGATCTTCACTGTAACGATGAATAAACACCCTTTTATCATTTGAAATTCACTGTAATTGTATTTTCAATGCTTTTTTCCTGTTTAGTTTTGCTGGAAGTTTTTCTATTTTACTTCTTTTTTCAAGCAATCAGCGATTGGATTTTGTTGATCAGTTCTCTTTTAAAATATTCTAACCCATTCATTTTTGCCTTTATCATGATTAATTCCTTTCTCCCATCACCTTAGGTGTACTTTGTTTCTCTTTCATGCTCCTTGGATTGACTGCTCAGGTAAAAACTTTTCTTTCTAGAGTCATAATAAAAGCTACTTTTACAGTGGTATAAATTTCCCTTTGATCATTGGTAGGATCATAGCCAAGAATTTTGAGGCAGTGTTCTCTCCCTCTCTCCCTTCTGCCCTCTCTTCCTTTCTTGAGACAGGATCTTGCTCTGTTACCTATGCTGCGTGCAGTGGTGTGATCACGGCTCACTACAGCCTCGACCTCCTGGACTCAAGCAATCCTCCCACCTAAGCCTCCTGAGTAGCTGGGACTACTCAGGCTCATGCCACCATGCCAGGCTAATTTAAAAATTTTTGTTTTGTAGAGACAAGGTCTCAATAGGTTGCCCAAGCTGGTTTTGAACTCCTTGGCTCAAGCAGTCTTCCCACTGCAGCCTCCCAAAGTGCTGGGATTATGGATGTGAGCCACTACACCCAGCCTGACTTTCCTAAACAGTCTGCAGTTAAATACCTGTTGATGCAGTAGTTATTTGGGAGTGTGCTACAACATTTTCTTTTTCTTTTTTTCTTTTTCTTTTTTTTTGAGACGGAGTTTCGCTCTTGTTACCCAGGCTGGAGTGCAATGGCGCGATCTCGGCTCACCGCAACCTCCGCCTCCTGGGTTCAGGCAATTCTCCTGCCTCAGCCTCCTGAGTTGCTGGGATTACAGGCATGCGCCACCACGCCCAGCTAATTTTTTGTATTTTTAGTAGCGACGGGGTTTCACCATGTTGACCAGGATGGTCTTGATCTGTTGACCTCGTGATCCACCCGCCTCGGCCTCCCAAAGTGCTGGGATTACAGGCTTGAGCAGCCGCACCCGGCCCAACATTTTCAAATGGTTATGACATTTAAAAAGTTAGCAGGCTTTTTACTATTAATTTTCTGGTATACTGCAATATGGCTGTAACAATGTCAGTGTTGGGGGTATTAGCAGAAGTCGCATTTTGTTTGGTTCAAAAATTCAAAATATATTTGTCACATTTATGATTTGGAGCTACTGCACTTGTGATAGATATGAGTTAAGAATCACCCAAATTTCTCCATTTTAACACAATCTTCTTTGGCACATAACGTTTATAACGATTATCTTTTCACTATAGACTGTATCTTTTGTCAATATCAAGTGAATCTTTCTTCCCCCTTTC